CAAGAACAAATTGAGATTGATAATGATGATGCTGCTGATCAAGATGTAGACATTGAAATAATTGAGCATTGCCTGGAGTTAGCAGATAATACTAATGTGCATATTTCCTTAAATGCATTACAAGGAATTGCTGGGGGAAATACACTACAATTAAAGGGAATTATAAAGAAGCAGGAAGTGCCATTCTTGATGGATACAGGGAGCACTCACAACTTCATTAGTGACAGATGGGTGAAGACATTAGGCCTCAAAACCAGTTTCGTAAGGGACTTTCTGGTGATGGTGGCTTCAGATAAGCAACTAGTCATCACTAAGCGCTGTTCTCAGGTTTCATGGAGGTTCAATGATCACCACTTTGCAGCAGATTTCCTGGTATTACCTAGTAGCAGTTTTGGAATTATCTTGGGCATGCAATGGTTTCAGACATTAGGTGAAATTTGTTGGAACTGTGCTCAATTGACAATGAAATTCCAGCATCAAGGACAACTAGTATGTTTAAATGGTGAACCACAACAAGTAGCAATTTCTACAACTTCAGGGACATTGAAAACAATCCAGGGCCAGACAATGTTACTGGCTATACAAGGGTCTGCATTCTTTAATCTACCTACACCTGAGAATGAAGCACTATTATCTCAAAGTCAGAATGAGGAACTTCAAAAACTAATGGAATAGTATCACCACCTTTTCAAGGAGCCAACTGAGCTTCCTCCTAAGAGACGATATGACCACAAAATAATCCTCACGAGTAATTCACCTGTTTGTTTGAAGCCTTACAGGTACCCACACAATCAAAAGGAGGAGATCGAGAGACAAGTTAAGGGATTACTCTCCACAGGATTCATTAGGGACAGTGCAAGCAACTATGCATCTCCTTTGGTTTTAGTGAAGAAGAAGGATGGCTCTTGGAGGTGCTGTACGGACTTTAGAAAGCTAAATGCCATCACTGTTAAAAACAAGTTTCCTATGCCTTTAATAGAGGATCTCTTGGATGAGCTACATGGTGCACGCTATTTCACCAAACTTGACTTGAGGAGTGGATATAATCAAGTTAGAATGGCTGAGGAGGACATTTCTAAAACAGCATTTAGAACTCATAGTGGACACTATGAGTGGGTGGTGTTACCTTTTGGCTTAAGCAATGCTCCAGCTACTTTTCAGAACTTGATGAATGACATATTCAGAGAATACTTGAGAAAATTCATCCTAGTTTTCTTTGATGACATTCTAGTTTACACAAAGACTTGGGAGGACCATATACAATGTTTAGAGATCACGTTGGAGATTTTACAGCACAATTGCCTAGCATTGAATTTTAAAAAATGCAGTTTTGGAAAAAGGAAGATTGATTATTTAGGCCATCTTATTTCCTCCAAAGGAGTGGAACCTGATCTTCAGAAAATTACGGCTATACAGCAATGGACCAGACCTACATCTTTAAAGGAATTACGAGGGTTTCTTGGCCTGTCCGGCTACTATAGAAGATTTATCTATAATTATGGAAAAATAGCTGCACCATCAACAAACTTTCTACAAAAAGACACTAAGTTCAAATGGAATGAGGAAGCTGAGGAATCATTCAACAAGCTCAAACAAGCCTTAACTACAGCACCTGTGTTATCCTTACCCGATTTCAGTCAACCTTTCACATTGGAGACTGATGCCTTCGGTATAGGTATAGGGGCAGTCTTGTTACAAAAAGGACACCCTATAGCTTATATAAGTAAAGCCATGGGACCAAAATATCACAACTTGTCAGCCTACGAAAAGGAGTTCTATGCCATTCTGTTTGCAGTAAAGAAATGACAGCATTATTTTTTAGACCAACATTTCATCATCAAAACTGACCAGAAAGCTCTCAAACACCTGTTGGAACAGCCACCGACAACTTTGATGCAGAATTGGGGATTGAAAAAACTTATGGGCTTAGACTTCAGCATTGAATATAAAAAAGGCAAAGAAAATATTGTAGTTGATGCCTTGTCAAGGAATAGAAGTGAAGCCTATTTAGCAGCAATTCTGGTCATACAATCTCAATTACTGCAAGAGGTGAAAGAGTCATGGCAGGCAGACCATAAGATACAGAAGATTATTGACAGAATTAGATTAACTCAACAACCTTACAAACATTACACATATGATGAAGACTTCTTCAGACGGAAAGGAAAATTGGTAGTTGGCAATGCACCTGAGTTACGGAAGAAAATTCTACAACATTTTCACAATTCACCAGTCGGAGGTCATTCAGGAAGTGAAATTACTTACAGAAGAATTAAAGAACAATTCCATTGGAAAGGGTTACAGAAAGAGGTCAAGATGTGGGTTCAACAATGCATGACTTGCCAACAAAACAAACCCATGCAGCAGCTGCCAGCAGGTCTACTACAACCACTCCCTATACCTGATCAAGCATGGAAGTCCATCTCAATGGATTTCATCATTGGCCTACCAAAATCCAATGGTATGACTGTCATCCTTGTGGTCATTGATAGATTAACCAAATATGCTCATTTCATGTCCCTATCTCATCCATTTGGAGCTGCCAAGGTAGCTGAGATCTTTATGGATAATGTGGTGAAATTAGCCAAATGAGATAATTTCTGATCGGGATACTATATTTATGAGTAAATTCTGGAATGAGCTAATGAAATTACATGGAGTGAAGCTTTTAAAATGAACAGCTTTCCATCCCCAAATAGATGGACAAATTGAGGCTTTGAATAAATCTTTGGAAGCATATTTAAGGTGTGTGACAAGAGACATGCCTCAGAAATGGGTGACCTTCTTGTCCTTGGCTGAACTTTGGTATAATACCAAGTTCCATTCAGCAACTAGGATGACACCATTTGAAGCTTTATACGGTTATCCTCCTGCTAGTCCAAATGTGGTGATAAAGGACGACTCCATGGTGGAAGCTGTGAATTATACGATAAAAACAAGAGAACAGATCAGACAGTTGCTGCACATCAATTTATGGAAGGCACAGGACAGAATGAAGAAATTTGCAGATCAGAAACGAATTGACAAGGAATTCCAGAAGGGAGATTTGGTATACTTAAAGATCCAACCCTTTAGACAACACACATTGGCCAACACTCCTTTCCACAAACTTGCTGCACGTTACTATGGCCCATTTTAGATTCTAGAAAGAATTGGGAAAGTAGCTTACAAATTAGAACTACCACAAGGAACAAAGATTCATGATGTTTTCCATGTGTCTTTATTAAAGAAACACCATGGACAACATTTGGTTTCACCTCAGCTGCCAGTATTCAATGCAAATGGCGAGTATCAGGCACAACCGTTGGCAGTCTTGGACAGAAGAATGAAAAAGAAAGGGCATAAAGCGGTTACGGAGGTCTTAATACAATGGAAGGACACGACTCCAGAAGATGCTGAATGGAGAGAATTATTTAGCATGAAGCGGCAATTTCCAGAGTTCAATTGACATTATTAGTCATAGGACTTGCGGACAAGTCCTATTTTGAAGGGGGGGACAATTGTAACAGATTAAATATTCAGGGACTAATTAGGAAAAAAATTAGAAATTAATTGTCAAAAACCATTATAACTGTCATATGTTAGCGCAGGTTGTTAGAATGGGAGGAAATAGGTGGTTGATTACAATCTTATATAAGTCCCTTTTGTACATCCATTAAAAGATATGAATACAAGTATGAATTTTAGTTCCTCGTAAACTTGTCAAGTTGAGAGTGAGTGTGAGTTGGAGTTATTACGTTTTAAACTTCAACCGTTACAAAGTAAAAATAATCATACCTGGCATGAATTGATATTGACGGTCTTTCACTTGGACCATGCCATCCCGAACTTCCACCTCCAAAACATCACATCCCACCGCTCCAACAAATTTTAGTGAATTCCTACCATCCAGTGTTCATAAATCATCTTCGGTGCACCATTTGCACCATTCAAACTACACCAATTCTGAATTCCTTACCTAACGTAATATCTCATGCAAACTGAATTTCATCGTTTCCAAAACCCTTATCTTTAGTGGCATTGATTCAGAAAAGGGAACTTCAGACGTGAATTCCCACATTGACATGCACATTTCGGTTTTTTATTCAATTGGAATGAACTGAACCTTCTATCCCTTAAATAGCTGAGTAACCGAGCAATTAATTGGCATGGGAAATTGAACCTTCACCCGCCACTTCTCACCATTTATGTGCCAATCTTAAAGAAAAAAACATCAAGAGTTACATGTTAATTGAAGAACAGCCCCAACTTAACCTTAATTGGAGAAATAAAGGAAGAAAAATCGAGACCTTCTGGAATAACACCTTAGCTCTTTCTTTTTGCTTTTGTTTTTCCATTTCTATAAATAACAATTATTTATATGTTAATTCTTTGTTATTAAATTTTGCAACATTCACTTGAAGTTGTCTTGGGTTGTATGGGGACTTACATATGCTTAAACTGATGGAAACACTGCTTTCTTATCAACATATTAATGACATGCTGAAAAATGGTGAAGTCCTTTTATTTGAGAAGTGGAGAGATCTCTTCTCCAAAACCTGTTATCTAAATGAGTTTTTTTTTAGTAAAATAATTTTTTTTAATCAATGGGACTTTTCCTGTATTAAATAATTTTTTATTCACTCTTAATTTAAATTTTTATAATTATAATTTTAATTATAAAAATTTTATTTCTTTGATTTAGTGTTATTTAATACAATAAAATATTTATTTTAAAAATTAAAATATTTTTACTTTTGTAAATTTACAATATTACTAAATTTTAAAAATAAATAACACATTTTTACTTTTTATTTGGAAAATTATTTTAATTTAATGATTTTTGTGCAATAAAAAAAATTCACTAATTATCATAAGAGTTAATAGCACTAAATTTATAACATTGATCCCTGCCAAAAATGTTTTTAGAGATGGATCAAGTTGCAAATTTTATAAAATAGAACTAAATGATCTGATGGACAAATGGTCTTTATTAGTAATCACCATAGATATATTTTAATAATAAATCAATGGATGTGTTCAGCATTTAAGAAAATTCTGATTTATTTGATTTCTCTCGAACAGTCTTGAAGCTAATCCAATCTTGAAATTCCAAATCACGAAGAAAGGGATAAAATAAATTATAAAATCTTAGAAGCGTACCCGTGAAGTTTATATATACTTTAATCGAACACTCTCCACAGGTGTAGCTTCTTACAAATTAAAATTGAGATGCATGACAGTGCTTTTTCGTGCAGATTTGTGCACTGTGGAGACCTTAACAGAATAAAGTAATAACTTCACCGAAACACATTACAAAGACAGAGAGAGACCCACCAAACGAAGTCTCAAGTTTGTTTCATCGTACTCACAAAGGTATTGTCTTCTTGTAGTTTCTTTCAAACTTTCTTTCTTCTTTTTAAACTATGATGGGTGATGAATTAATTACTTATGAAAATATTCAATTTGTGGAGTTCTCTTACCTTTAATTTCTTGTGGGTTGATAGTGCTTGTTCTATGTAGCTGATTCTGGACTTCTTCTTCTTCTGGGTTTTATAGTTTTTTTTTTTTTTTTTTTTAAAGTGGGGTTCTGCTGCATTTTTTGAAACGGCCGGTCCCAGTCAAAGTGTTTTACTTGGTCGAGATGATTCTTTTTGCTCTCAATTTTTGCTATTAAATTGAGTCGGTTTTTTATTTAAGTTTTAATTCAATTTATACATATTTTCTTTCCTTATTTATTTTTAATTAGTGTGGCAGTTGGCAAGAGAGATTACTTGTCAACTGTATGGCACTTGATTTTCTTTTTTCCCTGTAATCTCAAAATTTTGGATAATTTATCATTTCTAATTGAAGTTCTGATTTGTCGATGGATAAAATAAATTACAGTTACATTTTTTTTATAAATTATATTTTTTAATTTTTTTGTTAATTATTCCGTTTAAGATTTCTTGATTTTATTTCAAGCTTGTGAATATATGTATGCCGTGCAATCTCTACTATTTGAACTATTTGAACGTTTACATAGTCTTATAAACTTGAATATGCTTTATTTACAGAATGTATTGTATATTTTTCCATGATTTGATATGAAGAAAGTGCCTTACATATGTAGCAACAGCATAGTAATGTGCCCTGCATCCGCACCGCACAAACTTTATAATCACACTTTATTTTATTCTTTTTGTGTTTATTTATACATCTTTGTTGTTTTATTTTGTGTTCTCTTATTTGAGGAGGTTTCCTTATCTTCCTTTTTCTTTGTAAAATTTTTTCCCTTTATCTTGAATTTCTTCATTTATCAAAAACATAAAGAAATTTCATCCATGCTTTCTTTCACACATGATTCAAGTAATCAAGGTTTTGTTCTGCCTAAGAAGGACTACCATATATCAGCAAACATAAAAGATGGTTGATCCAAAGAATAGTTCCTTGTATGGAGTATATGGAGCTGTGGCAGCTATAGTCATTGGCATCTTGTTTTCGGCTTTGTTCTTCGGAAAGAAAAGAGGAAAAATAAGAGGTGTGCCAATAGAAATTGGTGGTGAGGCAGGTTATGCAGTACGTAATGCTCGAAAAACTGAGTTAGTTGATGTTCCTTGGAAAGGAGCCCCAACAATGGCTCATCTATTTGAGCAATCCTGTAATAAATATGCCCACAATCGATTTCTTGGAACAAGAAAACTAATTCAAAGGGAGTTTGTTACCTCTAGTGATGGCAAGAGGTTTGAGAAGCTTCACTTGGGAGACTATGAATGGGAAACCTATGGAGAGGTATTTGCTCGCGTGTCCAATTTTGCATCTGGTCTTCTTAAGTTAGGCCATAATATAGATAGTCGTGTTGCCATTTTCTCTGAAACCCGGGCTGAGTGGCTTATTGCCCTTCAGGTAAACTTGCTTTATCCGCTCAATTTCCTTGAGTCATTCAATGGCCTTTTGGCTTAACTGTTCTGCAATCTGCATTCACAAATTTAATGAAAATCTTGCATAACATCAGGGTTGCTTCAGGCAGAATGTAACAGTTGTTACTATTTATGCTTCTCTAGGTGAGGATGCCCTGATCCACTCACTAAACGAGGTAGGAATGTTATCTCTTGTATAATTTTATGGATTAGATTGAAAATAGTTAAGCAATATAGTAACTATAATTTGTGATCATGTTCTCACTTGAAGTTTTGGAATATGAACAGACAGAAGTATGCACTCTGATCTGCGACTCCAAACAGTTGAAGAAGTTGGATGCCATACGATCAAGTCTAACATCTATCCAGAACATTATTTACTTTGAAGATAACGAAGAAGATACTTTCTCAGGAAGTTCAAGCAACTGGACAATTGCATCTTTTAGCGAAGTTGAGAAATTTGGGAAAGAATGTCCTGTTGAACCAAGCCTGCCTTCAAAGAATGCTATTGCAGTTACCATGTACACAAGTGGCAGTACAGGTCTACCAAAGGTTTGTTCCTTCAAGTTTTGTTGTAGTTGTTGTCCCTTTCTGTGTCTGTATGTATATCTTTGTTCATGTTTGTGATTGCTGCATGCCTACAAAATGTTTTGTCCAGAATCATAGTTATTAAGTCTCTCAGCAACCTGATACCAATTGAATAATGTAGTTCAGAATCTTGAGTAGTTGAGACTGACTTGGGTCTTGATATGACTCTATTGTCAATATGTTTTTTAGGCAGTAAAATATAACTATATTAAATTATTGTGTAAATATGATGAATATTATGTAGTCTACTAACATTGAGAACTATGAAGATCTCCACCAGCCAGTTGTGTTAACATTTTGTAATCATTTTTAGGGTGTAATGATTACTCACGGGAACATTGTAGCCACTACAGCAGCTGTCATGACAGTGATTCCAAATCTAGGTCGTAAGGACGTATACCTGGCTTACTTGCCCCTTGCTCACGTTTTTGAAATGGCAGCAGAGGTGATTTCTTCTCAGTCTTCTAACTGTCAAGGCAGTTGATGATATTATCTCTAAATTACTGCGGTTGTCCAGTCTGTTATGCTGGCTGCAGGTGTTGCAATTGGTTATGGCTCTCCTCTGACTTTGACTGACACATCTAATAAAATCAAGAAAGGAACCAAGGGAGATGCTACTGTGTTAAAGCCCACCCTTATGACAGCAGTACCAGCTATTCTTGATCGGATTCGAGATGGAGTTGTGAAAAAGGTGCGAATAAACTAATGCTCGACGCGTGCATGCAGCTCATACACACACACACATATTGTAACTTAATCCCCATCCTTTTTATTTTGTGTTAGCTACACCAATGTGATCTTTGTTATGAAAATCTGCACAAAATTCCTTACATTTATAATATAAATAAATAAATTCCCAATTGTCCAGTCTTTAGGATTGTTCATTAATTGACTTACCACTCCTATGGCGTACACATTGTCAGGTCTGGTGTGGGACAATGAGATCAATTTCCCAACCAGTCTTTGATAAGATTGTCTATCTACTGTTGCATCTTCAACTGATTCACTTAATTTGTGATTCTGCTCACTAGGTGTCTCTACTGGTTTGCACCCCAATTTTGCAGTTTCAGGCTTTAGGCAATAAATCCCGCACATACTTTTGTTGGGAGATGAAAATAACATGTTGAGAATGACCCACCTCAATGCCTAGAAAATCCTTCAATCTGCCTAACTCCTTAATCTCAATTTCTTTTAACAAACATTTCTTCAATGCTTGCATTCCTCCTTCAACATTTCCAGTTACAACTATATCATCTTCATAAACAAGCATAACTCCCCCTGAAGCTGAATGTTTAATGAACAATGGTATGATGATCACCTTGGCCTAGCTTGTACCCCATTGCCTTCATCACAGTAGTACATCTACCAAACTAGGCCCTTTGGGACTGTTTCAACCCATAAAATGCCTTCTACAGCTTACACACTTTTCCTTCCTTAGCTTCAAAACTAGGTGGGACTTCCATGTAGATTTCTTCTTCAAGTTTTCCATGCAAAAAAGCATTCTTGATATTGAATTTCTACAAGCTCCATCCATAGTTGCAGCTAGAGACAACAAAATTCTAACAGTATTCATTTTTGCAACAGGTGAAAAAGTTTCAAAACCCCATATGTTTGAGTGTATCCCTTAGCCACTAACCTAGCTCTGCCTTGTATTTAACAGTAAAAATCAAGTTAAATCCAACAAGTTTTCTTCCTCTAGGTAATTCTACCAACTCCATGTTTTGTTCTTTTCTAGTGCATCCATTTCAACCTTCATAGCATCACTCCAATTCTTACTGGTTAAAGCTTCTTCAACAGTTTTGGGAATAGTGATAGTGTTTAAACTTTAAATGAGTAAGGAAGTTTCTATGATTATTGGATAACTTTTCATAGGACAGAAAGTGGGCTAGTGGATACCTTGGCCTTTGGGTACATGCTCTAATACCTTTTCTTACTGCAATTGGAAGATTACCATCTTCAGTGGTCCCAGCATATTTTGCTCTTCTGATACAGCATTATTAGCTTCAGGTATAGATATCAGAATCTGGAACTTGTAGTGGTTGGATAACAGCCTTTGTCCTTCTGGAGTATACCTGTAGTGGAGTTGTAAAATAACTGATAATAATGGAGAAAAAGAGAGGAGAGTGGGCGCATTTGGTTAGACACTAGAATTTAGGTTGCAGGAGCATTGGTTTTATCCAAAAGGCATGACCAAGTACCCAAAATGACCTCCATGTGTCTTTGTTGGGTCCAGGCCAATTGGGCCTCCACACAAAACATACCAGAGAAGGAGGGGTAGGATGGGGATTGTGGGCAAAGAGGTTGTTAAGGTAGATTCTAACAGAATGGGTGACGTGGATGAATGAGAGAGGAGGGGCTGTAGGAGGGATATAGGGGTGTTGATCAGAGGAAGGGAGGTAGGATTTATCTGGGAGGTTATTTGGGAGGGCGGCTGTCATAGGGACAGTCATTGTTGCTGCATTACATAATCCAGTTTTCCTGTTGTTCTTGCTATTTCTACTTGTAATCTCAGGGATATCCCCTGACCGGTTTGTCATACATTTATAAATATATTCTGTTCCTATCAGTCTTGAAGGCAGTTTTTTGTATATCTTCATCCGCCATACGAACTTTATTATAGCCAGACCTTAAGTCTAACTTAGAAAACACCACAGTACCATGAAGTTCATCTAAAAGATCATCCACAAAGGGTATAGGAAACCTGTTTTTTACTGTATGTTTGTTTAACTCTCTGTAATCAACACAGAATCTTCATGAACCATCCTTTTTTCCTACTAAAACTATAGGACTAGCATAGGGACTGCTGCTGTTCTGTATAATACCAGACTTGAGATACTCCTTCACCAAACCATCGATAACATCTTTCTGTTGCTTAGAGTACCTGTAAGGCCTTTTATTCACAGGGTCAGTTCCTTGCATAAGAGGTATATGATGATCATGACCTTTTCTCTTTGGTGGAAGTGTGGTAGATTCCTGAAAAATGTCATCAAATTCTAACAGAAGGGCATCAACAGTAGTGGACAAAGAATTAACAGGAGCATGAGTGGTAAGTGATTGAAGCAGTAGTTCGTCCTCTTGATCACACATTTGTAACATTGACAAGTGGACACCCGAAGCAAGTGTCTTGCTCAACTGTTGTCTTCTTACATTTTTTAACCCCAAGGAAGATGCTCCTCTCAAAACCAACTTCCTTCCCTTCACATAAAACTGCATGGACAATTTATTAAAATTCCATGTAATATCTCCAAGCTTCAGAAGTCATTCAATTCCTAATACCAAGTCACAACATCCTAGGAGAATGAGAAACATATCAGAAGTGAATGTATGCTGCTACAAGGTCCATTGAAACTGTTTTGCCATAGAAGTGATAGAAACCTTAGCTCCATCAGCTACTGCTATACTAATGGGATCAATAGCTTCCATCCTACAACCAATCTTCTTAGCTATGTTAACATCCAAGAAATTGTGGGTACTACCACTATCTATGAGAATGTGCAAGGGAGTCTTCTTGTAGTAATCAGTGACTTTCATTGTTTTAAAACTTGCAACTCCAGTGAGAGCATTTACTGAAATTTGAGGATCAGTGAAATGACCTTCATCTAAAGAATCCATCTCAGAACTGATACCTTCACTAGCATCACCATCTGTCAAGTCATTCATCTCTAAAACATGAATATGCAATTTTTTGTGTGTTAAGGCATGTGTAGGGGTAAAGGGTTCCTCACAAAAGTAACATAACTCTTTAGCACGTCTCTCACTCATATAAGTAGGTGTAAGGTTTTTATAGGATTGGTTATTGGTTTTATTGTTGAAAGGTAATTTTTCAAGAGGTTTATCAGGTTTGTTGGCCAAGAGTGGTTTAGGATTAAATGAAGGCTTAAAGGATTTGTTGGTTGAACCGGACGCTTGAGTGGAAGAAGAAGCTGATTCATATAACTTGGCTAGGCTAAAAGCTTTCATGACATTTTCTGGTTGAAACATTCTGACCATCATCTGAATATCATTCTTAAGACCACCCAAGAAACAACTCAACATATACTCTTCAGTGAGGTTCAAACGAGAGATAATTACATCAAACTATTGATGGTACTCAACAATACTAGTTTTCTGCCGTAGTTTCATTAGTTCAGACATAGGATCATCAAAAGCATCTCCAAATCGTTCAATTAACAATTTGGAAAAAGTAGTCCAGGAAGGTAGAGAATAGGGATCAAAGGTTTTAACAAAACCTGTATGCCACTGAAGGGCTCTGCCCTCAAAATGCACAACAGCTAATCGTACTTTCACATCATCTGGGTTACCATCTATTGCAAAGTGAGTTTCACATTGGTATAACCATTGATTCACGGCATCTCCATTAAAATGTGGAAAATCGATCTTAGTTAATCTTGTTCCACAAGAATAGAGCTGGTTAGACTAGTGACCTCCACGATTTCCAGTGCCCTTCGCATGAAATTGAAACTGAGGGTCTTGATTTCTGGTACACTCTTGCAAGCCTTGTTGAACTAAAGCTTGAATTTGTGTCTCAATTGATTGCTCAATCGTCTGAACAATTGAAGATTGTAAGGAAGCTGTTAACGAAGCTGTTAAAGAGGCTTCCAAACATTGGTCCATGAATTCTTCCATGTGCAATTTCAAGCGAGCTTCAACGTGTTCTTCAGCCATTGTTGTTATGGTTGGATTGTTACAATCTGATACCAATTGATATGGCAAAGCTAGGAATTTCAGAGAATTCGAAGGATTGCATACAACAGGGAATCCAATAGAAAAGAATGGAATTCGAGTAAATCTTTATTGATGAAGAACAGAGAGAATTTTTACAATAGAAGAGTGTAAATCTAAAGAAAAAACCCCATGATTCTGAATAACAATTTTCTATTATAGCTGCACTTCCTAACAACTTGCAACAGCTTTTCAAATTTTAGAATAACTGCCAAACAACTTCTAAACTAATCTATTGTCACGTGTCCTTATTACAATAAGACCCCGTATCAATCTATTGTCACGTGTCCTTATTACAATAAGACCCATATCATTGGGAGAGACTAGGCTACTTAATTGTGGGTAATTCATTCCTAGTTGAGAGTATTCGATAAAGGAAAGTCTTTCTTCTGTTTGTTCTTCAAGAACTGAATTGGTTTCTTACACATTCTTTCTTTTTCCTATTTTCTGTTGTGGGTTCTTAACAGATGACCTTCAATTTGATCCTTCTTTTTTTCTTTTTTTTTTTTTGGATTTTGCCTTTATTGGTCTTCTCTCTGCACATCAGCAAACTTCTTTAAACTAGTTTTGTTATCATTTCCTTGATAGTGCTGAACTACTACAATTATTCCTATATATATTTGTTGATAATCTTATTTTTCTTTGTATAACTAGTCAGTCTGATAGGACTGGTATAGAATACAGAAAAATAGTTCTTGAAATTTTATTGAAGAACCCTAATTCCCAAACCAATATTAGGTGGATAGAGATTCAGAACATAGGCAGAATCTTTACACTTAGTATTTCCGAGTTATTTGAGAGAACTCCACTCCTAACCATAATACAGAAAACATATCCTAAACTACTGTTGGCCTACCTCCCAATGGCTATTTATCCAATTTCCTGCCTATTCCCTTCCATTTCTTCCTATGGTATGCCTTTCTGAACCTATCAATACCCCCCCCTTAAAGTGCCACCTTGTCTTGAAGGTGAAAATTAGGGAAAACTTCTTGGATTATGATAGCAGATTCCCAGCTATTCTCACATTCTGTGAGCTATTTCCATTTAAGAACTAACTCCCCCTGGGGTGTAATCCTTGTATCAATTAGCTGTTCTAAAGTTACATCCAGAACATGCTCCTCGGATAACATAGGAGGCAAAGGTGGTGGCATGGTGGCAGGATGCACTGCTGGCTTGAGGAGGGACACATGAAAAACTGGGTGTATCCGGCTATGCTTAGGTAACTGCAGCTTATATGCAACTTGGCCAATGCGATCCAAAATTTGAGAGGGCCATAGAACTTAGGACTCAGCTTAGCATTTGCTTTCTTAGCTAGTAATCGCAATCTGTATGGTTGCAAGTTGCAACTTCAAGAAAACCCAATCACCCACTTTGTAAACCATGTCACGCCTATGTCTGTTGGCCTGCACCTGATTTTGATCCTGTGCGTTACACAGATTTCGTCTTAAATCCCTCAATATTTAACCTGTTGCTATTGCAGTTGATTTTTGCTATCCACCTTCGATGGAATCATAGAGCCCTTCAGCAGCAAAGAAGGATCCCACCGGTATAAAGCTTTAAAAGGAGTAATCTTTGTAGCTGCACTATACTTTGTGTTGAACCAGAACTCAGACCAACTTAACATAGCTTTTGACCTTGTCATGCAACGTAAATAAGTCTCCAAACAATGATTCACAACTTCCATCTAATTACCGTTGGCCTCCCAACAGCTATTTATCCAATTTCCTACCTATTCCCTTCCATTTCTTCCTATGGTATACCTTTCTAAACCTATCACATTCATTCACATCACCATTTTTATCTCTGCTGCATTTAGTTTATTTTTCATTTTCAAACTTTATTGGTCAGCATTTACAACCATAGTGCACTGCTGGTCTGACATGAGCAAACTTAATTGTTCATCTTCACAAGATTTATCTGGTAGAATTTTCTATTTTGATGGCCACTTTCCTATCACAAATTGCAGAAGCTATCATTTATTCTTTTCTACTTTCTGCAGGTATTTGACTCTTTAGACTAGTTAGTTATTGCTCTTCCTTACTATTTCCTATTCTGTATGTTCTATGTAGGTTGAGGAGAAAAGGGGGCTTGTGAAGAATCTTTTTCATTTTGCATACAATCGCCGATTGGCAGCTGTAAAAGGTAGCTGGCTAGGAGCTTGGGGATTGGAAAAGTTGGTGTGGGATACCGTTGTCTTTAAAAGAATTCGTACTGCACTTGGAGGCCAGCTCCGGTTTATGCTTTGCGGTGGAGCCCCTTTATCTGGTGACTCACAACATTTCATCAATATTTGCATGGGGTAATGATTCGTACCTTTACACTACATAATACATGGTTGGAACTAACCTGTGTTCATTTTGTATATGTCCATGTATGTTTTCACATGCCTCTTAGGGGTTATGGATGTAGGTGAATGAAGCTATACACAGTTTGTATATTAGATTCATTTCGATGTGAATTTCTATCTAATAGCAATTGTAAGATAGAATATGTTGTATTCAATGGGTGTATGTAGTCAGAATATCTGAAGAGTTTTTAGATCATCTTTGGTGTATCTTAGGATTTTTAGAATATCTTAAAAGATCCTTAGAATATTCTAATATATGAAAATAGTTAGAAATTCTCAAGAGAACATAAAACTACGAACTTAATTAATTGATAAGAAATGCAAAACTCCTTGATATTATCTTTCCCACAATACTTGAAAGTTGTAACATAGTTAATGTGTGATCCATGTAGCCCACCTTATCTAGTGAGGTAAGACTTTGTTGTTGTTGTTGTTGTTGTTGTATCTGTTGATGAGTAATAAGGAAGCATAAAAACCTCAAATTATTGTCCCATAGAGGCTATGCGACAATTGCTAAGATTATCAATCTTCAATTATTTATGCAAATCAATATTGATGGAATGTTTATTATGTAGAAAAAACAGAAGAAACGTAAATGAAATAAAGTGCAAAGAGAAGAAGAACAAAAGGAAAAGAAAAGAATCCAGAACAACCAAGTAAAAGTGACATGGTTAATTTTGGATTAACATAAGGCATTTGACTTCATCTTTTTGGTTTAGTAAGATTTTTATTGCCCAAATTCATATAGGTAAATGGCATAAGGACGTTTTATCACCTAACAAATTCAAATTCAAATTCAATCTAATCCTGTCATAATAATCTTATCTTATTTCCTTATAGAATCCCAGCAGAAATTTATTTGTTTTGTAATCCTATTAGATTCTGTTGACACGCATATCTGGAGTTTGATTGGAGAATTTGAGGTAAAGGCTCTAAATGGATTCCAGAGTATTAAAAATTGGAATGTACTGATTTCAGAAAAGGGCAAGGTGGTTTATTTTTCCTTTCAACAACTTTAGGTTCTTGTTAAATCTTTTGTTTTTCTGCTCTGTTCCTTTTCTGTTATTAATATTGATTTTCAAATGCTTGCTTGGCATTGAGGGGGAGAGTGAGAATGATAATGTTACATCTTTTCTTTCTGACAATGAGTTCGGTAGTCCACTGTCAAACATACTAATGATGATTTTTCCTCCCATTGATGATCATTGCAATGGTGTTTTCCATATTTTATTATATTTCCTGATTTTTTTATTTAATTATCATTATGATAGAAAAAAACAATGATAAATTGATAGGAATTTTTTTGATTCATACAGAAATACAGCAAGTGTCTTGCTGTCCCAGAGTTGATAAATTTGATTTACACCTCATGTTGTCCAATTAGAGTTGGAGCTCTCTATGTTTACGTATTTACTTGTCAACAGGGTTCCTATTGGACAAGGATATGGCTTGACTGAAACATTTGCTGGGGCTGCCTTCTCAGAGTGGGATGACTACAGTGTGGGGCGTGTTGGTCCACCTCTTCCTTGTTGCTACATTAAGGTATGTCATATATCCCAGCGACATAAAACCAGTGTCGTAAACTTCCAACCACAACTTATTCTTAATTATTGCATTCTAGTATAGTAATGGTCATCAACTATTGTATTTTCAAGCTGGTGCATAACGAAACTTATTTTGGACATCAAGGATATTAAGAAATTAACAGCATCTAAATAACAAATTCATCTCTCTTAATCTGTATTAGAATTTGCAATTAGTGTCACTTAAATAGCCTTATATAGGGGGAATTTAATTTCTTTATTAATGTGGTTGTATAGCTTGTTTCTTGGGAAGAAGGAGGGTATCTGACATCAGACAGACCACTGCCACGGGGAGAGATTGTGGTTGGGGGATTCAGCGTAACAGCTGGTTACTTTAAGAATGAAGAAAAAACTAAAGAAGTGTTCAAGGTAATTTCCAAACTTATAGTTAATGCATGTTGTTTTTCCATCTCAATTTGCTTTTACTGCTCTTAAATCTGTTTTGCTTATTATTAAGCCACAATTACATTTCTTTTGTTAACCTGGTACAGGTGGATGAGAAAGGTATGCGCTGGTTTTATACTGGTGATATTGGGCAATTCCATCCTGACGGGTGTCTTGAAATCATAGATAGGAAGAAAGACATTGTCAAACTTCAACATGGAGAATATATCTCTCTTGGAAAGGTAACTCAAACTATACCTTATCATTCTGAAATCTGGAGGAAGTACTTACTCAAAATTAACAAAAAATTGTTCTTGGTCTGACAATTGTGTTTTCATTATTACTTAATTGCAGGTTGAGGCAGCCCTATCATTATGTGATTATGTGGATAATGTGATGGTTTACGCAGACCCCTTTCACAATTACTGCGTTGCTCTAGTTGTTGCCTCACATCAGTCCCTGGAGAAGTGGGCCCAACAAGCTGGTATTGAATATAAAGATTTTCCGGATCTCTGCAACAAACCTGAAACTGTCACTGAGGTCTTACAATCTATTTCCAAGGTTAGTCTTAGGTGTCTTCAAATCTGTTGTTAACTTTTGTTGGCTGAGATAGAGAAGAATTAGGCATATTTCCTCTAAATAAGTTTAGAGCTTGAGAGGGAGAGCTATTTTGTTATTCTCATTTGAGAGAGGATTAGTACTTGTGCAAGGGAGGTCCCCTTAAAGCTCTGCTAATTTTTAGCTGTATTCAGGAGAATTTCCCTGTTCTTTCAAGTAAAATACAAGGTTCCTAATAGTTAACTAATTCGTGGATAGTTGGATATCACATCATACCATAAGCTGTAGTGTTGAGAGATATTAAACCATTCATGATCATCCACCAAAAAGCATAAGCTTCTTGCAAAATTGGTCCTTGAGTTTAAAGCCTCTATGATCAATTGGTTTGGAGTTTGATCCCTGCCACCTCCATTCTTTTAACTGAATTTTAAAAAGCCTTATATGAATTCATGAGCTTCCACTTGATAGCTTAATTTTTTAATGAAGTTTGTCTTTGACTCATGGTATAGGTATCTTGAATTCATTTTACGAAGTAATGGAAAGAGCAATAGGGATGCCGCACACTGCACATAAAAATCAGTTGGGTTGGTTGAAATGGAGGAATGCTTTAGGCGTAATACATCATTGCAAGTACATATGAACTAGTACATATAATCTCCAAGGATGATTCAACCATAAGAGCAACTAAGCTCTGTGATATTAAATGTTGGGTAGCGAAGTGTTCACAGGAACAGAAGATAAATGTAGTGGAGATAAGAATATTGACGTGGATAAGCATATAGAAATCAATAGATAATTTTAGAATGAATATATTTGGGAGTAAATAGTGAAATGTATCGAGGAGAAAATGAGAGAAACTCATTTTGGTAATTAGCTCTTGCAGAGAAGACCAAGTCAACCACTCTTAATGGGATAATTCTAGTTCCTTAACAACATGCATCTTGTTTAGCCTTGGGTCATCTATTTACTATTCCTTTGAGAATGATTTTCAAGGACGAGTAATTTAATGAATGAACACAAAATTTAACGGAACGTGGAACACACTTTTTATTATGACTTACAGTTTACCCACATCCAAAATCTGTAGATTTGTTGATGAAATGTATGTACTTAAATGTTCTTTTCTAATTGCACTATCTCACACTGTTAAGGAAGTATACACTATCGCAGCTTTGACGCAATTTCCAATTGAAATGATGCTTGAAGGATAAGCATTGTAAGAAATGACTTTTGGATCCACCAAACTGTATAGAGTTTTATTTATGATGTGACAAGTTGGTTAGAGGTTACCCACCATTGTATGTGTTGCATGGTTAATGGCTCATTTCCTTCATTTTCAGGTTGCAAAAGCTTCAAAACTGGAGAAAACTGAAATTCCTGCAAAGATCAAGTTGCTACCAGATCCATGGACACCTGAATCTGGAATAGTCACTGCTGCTCTCAAGATAAAGAGAGAGCAGCTGAAAGCTAAATTCAAAGATGATCTTCAGAAGTTGTATGCGTGAAGTAGCTAACCTCTTCTCAATGTATTGTCTAGTGCAGTTTATGTAATATAGAAGCTTTAATCTCTTTCTTTTCAATATCTGAAAGCCATATTTCTGGTTGATGTATGTTTATTATGTAACTCATCTGACATAACAAACACACTCCACAACATAATAATTTGGATGTAAACATGAATTCTTGCCCATGAAGCAGAATGTGTTACACTGGTGTCTGCACATACGTTCGTACAATGATACCATGTAATGGCTAGCACTATATAGTGATTTATGAGCAGTTATCTCAGTTGAAAATGCGCTTCCATGATTTTTTATAATAGCTAGCAATAGGTATTCGTTTCGTACTAAATCATGTTCTGTCCAAAGTTATAAAGACATTATATGAGATGTGGACTAGGAAACAATCCTGTATGACTTGCATGAAAATTTGGGATTGTGAAGTTAATGTGAAATGTCAAGTTTTAAAGAAGCTGCGACCCAAATCTGATAAAGTATTAATGAAAAGGAATATGGTATAAAATTATAATAATTGCAAAAGGAAAAGTAAGTACAATATTTTATTTAATAATTATAAAAACAAAATTATAAAAAATTAAATACCGTATGGAATTTTAATATCAATATATTAAAGTCAAATGTTATAAATTACAATTTTTTATCTTAAATTAAAAGTAAAACACTAAAACAAAAACCTATTTTATCCTGTCACAAGACTCTTCTGGTATCACTTTTTAAGGCCTGTGAAAAAGTTAATATATTAACTATAAATCGTTACATATTTTAAAGTCAAAATTAATAAAAGTAGACTAATAAGCACATGAAAAGTAATACATGGAAAGAAAAGAATTAACATACTGTTAAAAAAAATAACCTTGAGAAAAGAATCTTAAATAACTAAAATTCAAAAAATGCGGAAAACAAATATGATAATATTGAATTGACATTTAAGTCAACATTAAAAAAAAAAAATTTATTCACCACTGTCTATATATATATATATATATATATATATATATATATTACTAAAGATCTTTTACTAAAATTATCAAATGAAATCTTTTTTCTTATGTTTTATTTATTAAATTTATTACATTAATAATTTATTTATTATTTTTTATTTATTTAATGTATATATTATTTGGCCTTTTATATTACTTGTAGTAATTAAATTAATAGTTTATTTTTAAAAATTATATTTTTATTAAATATGTACTTCCATAAAATAATAATTCAATATTCTTGATAATATAAGATGAAGAATTAGTAATATAAAAAATATTAAATATATAATAAATTTGTAGATTGTCCACGATACAAATTCAGTATTAACGAAAATATTAAGAATAACTTTTTACAATCAATATTTAATAAATTTCCTTTCAAATTGTTCTAGTATAAAAGTTAACCCAAAAATAGACAGCAAAGGCATGATGATATAACAAACAACTACTTGATTATGTGACCAACAATCCATCTAAAGTACATATATTATGTATTGTGAAAGCACAATTGAGGATACATTTTATAATAAAAACTAAACACAGTCAAATGGCCAACAAAAAGTCTATCGATAGATGCAAGATTGATTCTCCGGATGAAGATGAACTTGAGAGCTTCATCCTGATAGTAGCAAAACTCGATAGAAATTAGAAAAAAAACAAATAAAAGCACTACAAGCATATTCTTTTCAACGTAATGTTATCCTACACAAGTTGCTTTTACTCCACGACCTCTTACTGTCGTGCAAAGCTTCATATTTATATGTTAGAAATATTAAATTCAGAAAAATTAAGGTAAAAAATAAAAGAGAAAATTGAAAAAAAAATAATATAATATTATATAGTATATAGTATAGAGTATAAAATATGTAACATTATATATAAAGAGAAAGTATGAATCCCTTGATATCAAATGTCAAATTTAAATACTTACCTCACTTATTAATTTTTTATAGAATATAAGATTGGTAATCCAACAGGTTAGAAGCTTTAATGAAATTGTTTGGGATAATGAAAATTTTCTAAGTTAAAAATCATCTTGAAGGAAACTATATTTCAACAAGTTTTGGGGGGTCAAGAAGGAGCCAAAGATAAGCCTGAACATAAGATAATATTGGAAGATTATCTAAGATCTTTAGTTTTAATTAAAAGGTACACATTTCGAGCTATTTTATGAGATTTTTGTCACATTGTTGATTTTTCTCTAAACTGCTTGAAGGACAAGAAAATATTTTAAGACCACAAAACTAAAGGCTTTTTTCGAGGAGTTTTGAGGAGTTTTCAAGTCACGGACACCCAAAACTGCTCGAAAAATAGAACTGGCAAGAAAATAGTCTAAGTCCACAAAACTGATAGCTTTTCGAGGAGTTTTTGAGGAGTTTTCAAGTCCCTGACACCCAAAACTGCTCGAAAAACAGGACTAACAGAAAAATATTCTAAATCCACAAAAATTGATGGCTTTTCGAGGAGTTTTTGAGGAGTTTTCAAGTCCCTGACACCCAAAACTGCTCAAAAAACAGGAAGTGGTCAGAAAATATTCTATGTCCACAAACCTAGCCGAGCTCCAGATTTCCTCTAGAACTACTCGAAAAATAAGAAGTGGTCAGAAAATATTCTAAGTCTACAAATCTAGTCGAGCTCCAGAGTCCCTCCAGAATTGCTCGAAAAACAGGAATGAGCAAAGAAAATGTTCTAAGTTCACAAGACCAAGACAGGCTCTCAAAACTCCAGAATGGCTTGAAAAGAGAAGTCAAGAAGAAACTATTCTAAGGCCATAACATTAAAGGAGTCTCCTAGGTTTCTCTAAAAAATACTCGAAAGATAGGAGTCTTGAAAAATCCAAAAGCGGTTACCAGTAGTTATCAACATTCACCACAACAAACAGCACGATCACAAGCAATCGTGGATAGTGAGCATCAACAGTTGAAGGCAGTTACTAAGAAGTGCTCGCAAAAGGAGAAAAACGGTGGTGATCTTCATGTCTATAAATACTCCAAAGCACCATTTCACAAAGGACGACTTTTTGCACCCTGACACCGCACCTAAACTCTCTGAGACACTGAAACCCTGCACCGCGCCAGACACCAGCTACAAGGAGACATAACGGTTGTTGTTGTTCATTGCTAGGAGTCGTACGTTTACATTCACGCACCTTTACATTCTTGCATTTACATTTCCGCATTTTAATTCCAGCTTGATGCTTATTTCAATTATTGCAATTCATTTACTATTTAGCGCTTTTCTGTAAAGAACATCTACATTTGATTCAATTCTGCCCATTTATTATTCACTATTCTTGCTTAATACTCTTTTACACAGTTAATTTGAACATCACGTTAAAAATACACTTAAAAGAACCCAAAGAGGACCTAAATCTAGTCCCCAGATTAATCTTTGGATTATTTGTTTACAATTGTCATTTTTCACCGTAAACAGAAATAGATCAATTTTATAAAATTTTGTAAATAAACAAAATCAATAGATACTTAATCACATTACCTTATTTCAATGTGTAATATGTTTTAAAATATAAAAAATTATCAAATTTTAGATAATATTTTAAAATATCAAAATTTTGTTAAATTTGATATAAATAATCATAATATAAGATTTAAAAACAATTTTATTGATAATTTTATATTTTATGAGAAGTTATTAATATAAGAATTTTAGCTGTTGACATTCCTAAGAACCACACAGTGGCAGTAAGCCTATGAGCAAATCAAATGTCACAAAGTGTGATAGTATTACATAAAATGTTGTGAAGTTATTAGTTCAAATAGAATGAGACTTGCGTAGGTAAAATAGGATAGTCATGAGTTGGAGAGATATGGGTTTCTCGAAACTTAGGAAGAGGATGTCTTAGTAATTGATCGAGCTAGTGACTTGACTTGTTAAGAAGCTATTTCAGGTCTATAGTCAAAGAAATGACTTGAAGCCATGAGCTGTGAAATTAAATTTATGTACACTAATTAGGTATAGACCTAGATTAAACCACGTAAAGGAGTAAAATTCATTGGTTGCAAGTAGAATTTCAAATTGAAAATTAACATGGAAGGTAATGTGAGTATTTTTAAGGAACAATTAGTGGCTGAGTTTCAATCATTGGTTCCAAGCATTTGATATTTTTTTTTTTTAAATAATAAGAGAAAATAAGTTTTAAAATAATTAGACTCAACAAATTTTTTACTCTTGGTCCTATGTATTCTTCAATACAATGGAGAAATTAGAACTACATAGTTATGAATAGAAAATCTTTTTTGAAATATATAAAATGAAAACAAAAATCTTATTGAAAGGTTTATTAAAAAAAAAAAAATACCCTTTGAGGGTATCAAAATGATTAAAAGAAATTATTATTATTATTATTTATTTTTAGTTTTATATAAAAATAAGATGAAAATTTTATCATTATAGTCATATATTTTGTGAATGGTAGAGTAATTTATACTTTACTATACTTAATTGTAATTTAAGTTTGAAAATGTATCTTTTTTTATATAGAAAAGGATAGACAAATATTTAGTATTTTGAAATAAAAATAAAATTCAAGATAATTTATGTGTACAATAATCCGCATGTTGATAGAGTGGAGATTGCAACAATTCACTTTGAGAAAGAAGTTATTCCATGGTTTCAGATGCTACAACACATGAATGTTGTTGGCTCTTAGGAATGAATTGACTCGTGCATTGAAAACTCAGTTCGAACCTTCTCCCTTCGATTATCCAATGGGAGAACTATTTAAGTTGCAATAATCAGGCACAGTCTTTAATTATTACTTGAAATTCACGACTCTAGCTAATAGATCTGAAGGATTATCCAATGAAGCTGTGTTAACTTGTTTCCTGAGTGAATTAAATAAAGATATTCGTCGTGATGTAGTTGCTCAGAGCTCTACTACTTTACTGAGAGCTGTTTCTTTAGCAAAACTACATGAGGAAAGTATACTCCTATTTTGAATTTTTGCTCTAATTCCTATGCTCATAAATATTCACCCATAGTTTCGACAACAATTGTGCCAAATCCAACCAAAAACATACGTAAGTCATCTTTACCCCCACAGTTACCAACCCCTTCCATTTCCCCAATCAGAAATACCAATGTTAAAAGAATTTCCACTGCTAAAATGCAACTGAGAAGAGAAAAAGATCTGTGCTATGTTTGTGATGATAAATTCACTTTTAACCACAAATGTCCCAATAGACAGTTTTTAATGCTACATACTGAAGATAAAGACTTTGAGGCTGAGATAAACCTTGATGTTGTTATTACTGATAACAATAGTACT